GGGGCTTTCCACAGCGCCGAGCACGTCTTGAGGTGCACAGTCTCTTCCTGCCGGGTTAACTGGTTACTCGGAGACAAAGACAGGTGACAGCAGTGAGGTTGAAATTCACTGTCCCCATTTGCTTATCTTGACTCAGTAAGCTGCCCAACTTTCTTGCGCTTCTAAACCACTGAACTGACAGTAGCGGTGACGGGCTGCAGGGAAGAGAGACCTGCCCAAGGGCAGATTCTGACGACCGCAAGCCCTTGTGCTTCATTGCACATTAAAATTTATTGATGCAGCAGACTGGTCGCAGCACTGGCTCACAAGCCAGATCCAACACGTATGGTGTCTTTTCCTGCAGTTATTCTTTGCTCTGTAATAATGATTAAGTTGGTTTGGCCTGACAAACATTAAATGCAAGTGACTTCGGTGTCCCTGTTTGGTAGTTGAGCTGCACGCAAACTGGGTGTCCCACTTTACCCCACTCCTAAATACTGCAGTAGTACTACACACAAGGGGTCGTGTTTTGGACTATGGGCCTCCTCAGCAACACCGTAGATACTCTGGGCCCTGTAGGTACTGGGAGATTTTCAGACTGACCTGTTCCAGTTTGTCCTCTGGAATTTGCTGATGACGTTCTTTGGAGGCAGAGCCAATGCTATATGTTACATAAACCTGGGGCACCTGCTCCTCCTGTTGGAAAGTCATCGTGTTCTTGAATGATGCCGCTGGCGTGGGGCAGGAGCCCTTCACTCTTCAGGAACTGACAACAAGTGGGCAGATTTTGTGGGCAGGTGGCCAGCCAGAAGTGGTTTCCAGGCAGATCCAGCATTCCATCGTTTTTCCAGCACTGGTGATCTTCCAGTGTCTCATGCGGGTTTTGCTAGCAAACAACCCCCTTTATCTGCCTTGACGGCAGATTTCTAGAGCTTGGTTGTTCCTGGATGTTTGTCTTATTCTAGAGAAACAGAGATCTGCTTTTACGCCTTTCTGTATGTTTCTTTCCCTTTTTTCTTTATTCCCTTTGTTCCAGGATGGGGAAAGATAGTGTCACCCTCATTCAGGTTGAATGCTTCGCAGACTTGTGTAGCCTCAGTTCTAGCACCCAGGGCTGTGGGTTGACTAATGAAAACGGATAGGTGACGATCCAGGGATGCTACTTTACCAACGTGAAAATAACAGAGTGCACTGGGGCAAATGGAAGAGGCATTAGATAAAATCGTTCCAGCTTTATGGTCACCCTGTGTGTGTGTGTATACATATATATATATAGATGTAGAACCATGGTATTAAAGTTTAATTGAGGGGGTATTACACACCACCCGTATTTACTCTTCACAACCTCTCCCTGCCTGGGACTCTTAATAAAGGAGCAGCTGAGAGTAGCCTTGTGCTTCGAGCCTGACTGATTTGAGCTGCACAACTTTGATTTTTGTTCCAGTCGTGTTGTCATAATAGGATCATCTAAAGGTCAGGCTGTCTCCTCGGGGGGGTATCAAAATGGGTATTGTATCCTGCTGGGTTACTAAACCTGCTTTCAAGCTTCTCCCATCAAACAGGGAAAGCGACTCTAAAACAGCCCAAACAACTTCCATCATCTACTTCAGTTGCGTGCTAAGACATGAGGTCACGAGGCACAGCGTGTGTTGGGTTTTTGAAGCTGCATCCTCTGCTGACATCATGTTTGGGGCAGATGGCACGTTCAGGAGAGCAGCACTACAGACTGATACAGTCTAGAAGTCTTTATTTCCTCTTTTTTGAAAGAAACTTGCTCACCATTATCCTGTAGTGGGATCCACACTAACGTGCCAAAAAAAGGATGGTTGGTGGCTGCCTAAACAAGCAAATTTTCAAAATAACGTAGATCCTATAATCTGCCCTGACATTTCAGAGTCCTCCAGAGATTCATCTACAGAGAAACTGTAAAAACTTGTTTGCTCTGTTCATTTTATCTTGGATCGACACAGTCGTGTGCCGCAGATGGGTGGCCTTTGCAGGTGTTAAACTCCAGGTTCATGTAACGGAGGTAAAACCCGTGCCGAGCCTGCCTTAGAGTTGCTCTTGCTTTCATTAAAATAACTATTATTCCAGCACAGGTCCCCCCCAGGCAGAGAGCAGTAGAAGATTAGAGAGGTTTTGGAAATGGACAACGAGCAGCTGAAGGGTTGGGAAAAGATTCTACGTTGAGAGGATGGGGAAGATTGATATCTTTTATAAGAAGATAGCTAACAGGTACAGAGTAATTAATGGGTGAGAAGATGGATGGGGACTTCTGTTCCCACCTGCTAATAATATGAAAGTCAGATTAGAAGGTGGTGAATTCACTCCTGATGAAAGGAACTATTTGTTCACAACCACCGTCTGTGAAACTCATGGCTGCAAGACAAAGCAGTGGGGCGAGAACTTACAAACTTAAAAATATAGAGGAGGGGGTTAAATGATATTAGTTGGAATATCCAAAGCAATTGCAAAGATTAGGAGAATCTCGGTGTTTTGAAAAGGCTTTAAGTGTATTGAGTAGGCTATTATAAGGGTACGAACTAACTCGCCCGGCTGGTTTTTTTGCCCCTCTCCAGGGCTTTTTCCATAGTTACCCTTGGCAGAGTTTGTGGAGTGTGCTGCAGGCCGCTGTCACCCAGAGACTGCAAGAGCTGCTGCAGCTGAACGTGGTACTGCCTGCTGGCAAACCACCTTTTTTTGTGTCAGTCTGTCCAGGAGTGCTAAATTCACACATAAATTAGGATGCTTTTGCTTTCCCGTTAAGTTACTGCCTTTGGTAGTCCTTCACAACTTGTCTTAGATCTGGAATGACGCTTCGCCTTTTGAGTACGTGCTGGGGGAGAGGCGGGTGGTTAAAGTTAGATTCCTTCTGACAGTAGGGATTTAGAAATTGCTGCATTGGCTCAGCCCTGGGATCTGCCTAGTCCACAGCTCTGGATAGCAACAGCCAAAATCAGATATTTCAAAGGACGGCATGAGGCCACGGAGCAGATTACTAAAACAGAAAGCTGCCCTTTTATATCATTGGTGTTTGTCCATAGAATTGGAAAAGCAAAGGTTGAGAGTTTGTTTGATCCAAGAGCACAAAAGCTGGAAAATCCCGTTGCCTGGTTGATGCTGGTTAATGCTGATGTTTTGTATCATCCAGGAAATTACTTATGTGCCTGTTTTGTCTTAGGAAAAACAGAGATGTGCTTACCTTAAATAGCAAGTTGATAGGGTGGCTTTAAGCTGATACAGGAATAAGTAATGCTTGTGTATAATCTCGCAGCCTAATGGTGTAGGGGACACCCACAGCGGCATTCTCCTTTGGGAAACAACCCCAGGCTGGGCTGGGAGGAGGCAGCAGTGGTCACTGAAGGGTTTTGACATGTGGAAAATGGGTATCTTTTTCTGACACTGCTGCAAGCTATCTGGCATTCTGTTTTGGGGTTTTTTTCTTTTTTTTTTTTTCCCTGTTGCAAATTAGCATTTGTAAGAATTATCTGTGGTTTTTCTCTCTCTCTCCTGAAGTCCTGAAATTACTGTTAAAACTGCTACTAAAAAAGGGATTCAGTGAACTCTCGATGGCAAAAAAAAAAAAAGTATATTCCTTCCCTTGTCAAATATTTTAATGTGTTGAGCTCCAAAAGCCAAAGAGGCCAAAAGCAAGGGGAGTTTCCCCTCTGCAAATATCCATGGAGCTGCTGCTGGGGCACGTGGGAGTGGCGGTGGTGTCCCAGTCCCGTCCCCCCTGCCCCCCGACAGACGAGGACAGCTGCTGATTAAAGAGAAGCGTGAAAAAAAGAGGCTGCTGAACTTTCTCAGTGGAGGTAGAAGAGGGAGTTAAATTTAGATTACCTTCTGCAGTGTCATCTCCTACACCCCCTGTGGAACTTGCTGTACTCCTTGCTTGGGAGAGGACAAACAAGAAATGCCATCCTGGACACCAGATGATAAATTTGTTTATAAGGCTTAATTGCCCCTTGGCATGAAAACGTGAATTGAGCTCACATAGAATGAGAAACCTTCTGTCAGGGCCTGTTGAATTTTCCTTGGGGAGAGGTGGATTAAAATGTCTTCCTATCACCTGCCTGATGCCATCTCTAGGCCCAATCCCGGTCCTG